TCTGCATAAATATGACCTAAAATATGATCTGTTCTCCACACAAGTCCTAAAACTAGATAAACAGAACCCAATTAAATAAATGAGTCAAAAACATATTTGTTCCTTTATTCATTGAGGAAAATGATTCAAAGCTACATATTTGTGCATGGGAAAAGTATGTGAACTTCTGGGATTCTCAGTTCATTTGAAGAGAATATTAGAATCAGATGTTTTAATCAATGGGATGTGTGAATGTGGGAGGTCCTGCCTTATTTAAGGAACAGAATTCTGGTTTGTCACCATCAAAGTCTGATCTTCATAGCACTGTTATGTGGAAGTGTGTCATGGCTCAAACAAAGGAGATTTCTGAGAACCACCGAAAAACAATGTTATGCTCAGCATGCTGGGAAAGGTTACAAAATGATTTCCAGTGAGTTTGGATTCCACCAGTCCACTGTCAGGCAGATTGTGTACAAATAGAGGCAATCCTACACCATTGTTAGCTTCCCCGGGAGTGATAGACCAACCAAGATCATACCAAGAGCAAGGCAGGTAATATTCCAGGATGTCTCAAAGAACCCCAGGGTAATGTCCAAGGAACTAAAGGCCTTGCTTGCATTGGTGAATGTCAGTGTTCATGAGAACACCAAATAACAATGATGTGCATGGCAGGGTTGCAAGGAAAAAGCCAGTACTCTCTGAAAAGTACACTGCTGCCAATTTACAGTTTGCAGACGACCACGTGGATGAGCCAGAATGCTACTGGAAAAATGTTCTCTGGATGGATGAGACTAAAATAGAGCTTTCTGACTTGAATGAAAAGCATTATGTTTGGCAAAAGGCAAACCACTGCATTCCAGCATAAGAATCTTATCCCATGTGTGAAACATGGTGGTGGCAGTATCACCATTTGGACCTACTTTGCTGCCTCTGGACCAGGATGGCTTGCCATCATTGATGCAACTATGAATTCTGAATTGTACCAGCAAATTCTACTGGAAAATGTCAGGGTATCTGTCTATGAACTGAAGCTCAAGAGAAAGTGGGTCATGCAGCAAAACAATACCCCCAATACACAAGTTGTATGACCAAAGAATGGTTAAAGCAAAAAAAAGTTAATGTTTTGGAATGGCCAAGTTAAG